CCCTCAATTGTTATGTAGACCAAAAGAAATGACGTAACATAGCTGCCGATAAAAATACAATAATATTCAAAGGAGTATTAATCGAGGTTTTAGTCGAGTTAATCATTAAAGAGGTAGCCTTAAGGATTTAGATCAGTATTTCTTCCAGACTTTTTTCTCCGGGGGGGGGGGGGGCACTTGAAATTTTCGGGGGGGGGGGGGGCGGTAGACTTTCTTTGGGTGGGGGGAGGTGGACACTGTTAAAAGTATATATTTTCTGTATAAATTATATAAATTTCATTTCGTTCGGGGGGGGGGGGGTCGAAGAGATGCCTGGAAGAAACTCTGATTTAGATTTACAACGTAAGTCTATTTCTCCCCCTCCCTCCTTCCCACCCCTCATTTTATGACATAATATTTGGATGACGATCCCTCACACAAAATTAAAATATTGCCCTGCTAAGCTAATAAAACGTTAATAATATTAATAGACTATAAATTTAATAACAAAGGCATTTCTCTCTGTGTGTAAAAACTAAATAAATTTATTTACCTGATATTATTATCAGGCATATCCCTTTCTAATTGGACACCTGCATTTAAAAACTGCTCTTGAGCCTGCCTTAGGTATCTTGGAATGTTCCACAGGTCACGAAGCCACCCAACACCAAAACCTCCAAATGTAACGAACCACACTACGGCGTGATTTACCCTACCTAAGTAGAGATGGTGAATACCAAAGAAGCCTACAAACAGCCACAGTGAATATGTCACAACGATGTTAGGCATCTTAGCCTATAGTTGGACAGTGACAGTAAAACAAAACACTAGATATGAAATCCACATAGATCTAGATCTACATTCGTGGAAGAAATATTGCTTGTGAATCGTTTTTATTCTGTGCGAAGGTAACCCGAAAAAAATATTTAAACGGGAAAATCCGTAATGAATAAACTAAAATAAAAGAAGGCCACGTACTTTATTTATAGGCCGAGAATCGAAATGTGGCCAGAAACGCCGGCTGATTTACATATATTTTTTCTTGATATGCTTGTTTCAGTTTTAAAACGCAAAATCTGGCAACTTCAGTTTCGTAGAATATTATTATTATTAATGTCAATAAAACCAGCTTAGTTTGTATTATTTCATCTAATTTAGGTAGATGGGGAATTCTAAAAAAACAAACAAAAAAAAAACGGTTGTCATCTTCTCACATTAAAGGATGGGATAAAACGTGTGTGTGTATGTTAATATGTGATAATTAAGCTATACGCAGCAGGTAGAAATATGGATAGTGTCAACAGACTGCAATAGTTGACTTTCTTATTTCGAATTAAATGTTAGATTAATTAAAATTTTAGGTGATATGTGCAATTAGTGACGTCATTTTAACATCAGGTCTTTTTTTCATGAAGACCTAAGGTGTCATCCATAAATATATGACGTCACGCCTTTTAAACGACTTTTACTCCCCCCTCCTCCATCTCATATCGTCACTAAAAAGCCAACACCCCTCCCTAAAATGACGCTACACCTCGAACTGCACCCCCCCCCCCTCAGAATTGTATTTTTTTTTTTAACGGTCAGTTTCTTTCTAAAATATTGACTGAGCTTAGAGGTGTCTATATTAAGACATTTTATTATTATTTACAAAAAGTTATTTAAAAATCGCGTAATAGTGGCTGAAATTAAGTTTCTATTAATACATTACTTTTTAAAAATGAAAAGAGTGACACTTCCCTCATCACAATTCGTCACAACGTTATGCCCCTCCCCATATGAGTGTGGGTTCCCAGAAAGATGCGCAAATGAAAAAAACGTAACAGAAAAAGCGCGCAAATATATGCGCAACGGAAAATAGCGTAAACAGAATAAAACGCAAACAGAAAAATGCGCAACTAGAAAAATGCCCAAACAGAAAAATGCGCACACATAAAACTGCGCTAAGAGAAAAATGCGCACACAGAAAAAGCAGAAACAGAAATTTGCGCATACAGAAAATGCGCAAAGAGAAAAGTGCTAAGACTACACCTACACCTACATTTACAGCTACACCAACACCTACTAACGGACTGAATGACCCATCCACACAACTTGGTTACCTGTCTATCTGTCCATACATTTAAATATCATGCAAATTCAATTGTCATTGGAATAACAATGTTCCGGTTAGCTAAAAGAGAGATGTGCTATTGCGCAAACAAATATCAGTATCTCCATTTGAACTTGTCGAAAAAACTAGCAGGATGGACGGATGGTTAGCTCATGTAATAACTTGCAGGGAACGCCACTAATGGGTGACTTCACTGTACTAGAGACCGCAGTCTGTGATGCAATTCTTGGGGGGGGGGGGGGGGGGGGGGGGGGAATGTTGTTCGAAGACTATCGTGATTTTGACCTAGATACACAGTGCCGGATTGACACATAGTTAAACTTCTTCAGTATTCTTATTTTCTTAGCCCCCCCCCCCCCCCCCCCCCCGCTGTAGAGAAACAGAAAGAGATGAGTGGATTGACGGACGTAATGAAAGAGACAGACAGGCGGGTGAGAGGGTCGGTCGGTCAGTCGACGGTCAGTGTAGGTGTGGATGTAGTCGTGCAAATCACGTTTGGTCATATCATCTGTGATTACACAGCCCTGGTTTACAAATTGGCTGTGGGCAAACCTTCGCTGTTGTCAATTTTCTGTTTGTGCATTTTTCTCTTTGCGCATTTTTTCGATGTGCGCAATCTTTCTTTGCGCTTTTTTCCGTTGCGCATCTTTCTGGTCACCATGAGTGTGACATCATGAATGGAAGATTTAAGACTTAAGACAATAAGAGCCTAGGAATAAAATCGCACAAACCTGTAAGTCATTTATTTTGTGAGAGATAATTTTTAATCTCCAATAGGTTTAAAACGTCTTTTTATTGATTTACTTTTTAATTAAAATATACCAGGTATTGGGAAAACATGGGTTTTATAGTTCAGCATAAAAAAACAAGTGGTTAAAGACATTTAATTTTAATAAAACAACAAACAACACAGCTATAACATTCTGCTTACACATCATCAGAAACAATTACAGACATCAAGCTAAAAAAAGTTTTAATTATGCTGTATTAAAGGAAACACAGTATATAATATATATATATATATCTTTTAATTAAAAATAAATTAGGAAATATCAGCAGTTTTAATTTTTTTGAAATACTGCATTATGTCGACAACTCACTTCAATTAAATACCTTGCATATTTGGATAAGGCACACTGTTTCCTGCAATAGTTCTATGTGATTTTTATAAATAATCTATTTAAAGCTTGGTTTTAAAAAATGTATATCACTAACTACAGCATTAAATAATATGCTAATATTAAGTTATGATCACACAGCTATTGTGGGGAGGGTAGAAAATTATTTTTTAACTTTTCATATCAGACCAAAATCCTAAGTAGAAACATTATTTACAGGATTAGTTTTCAAGAATGTTCACTAATAAAGTATCTGTTTTAATATAATTTAGTTATTGTATCATTGAATACAAAGTAAAAAAATCAACTTCAGACTAGCAGCGACATCAAATTTTGATATTCATGATATGTTAAATCACCATTTGAGATCATTTTGTGTTCTCGGTTTAGATTTCTATTAAAGTTAAATAACAAAATATAAACTAATCAGTACAATTTTAAAATAAGTAACAAATTACATTACATGGCAAACTTATTTAAAAATGAACTCTATGATAAATTCCTGATTTAGAATAACGTACAACACAGAGTATTGTTGACATGGAAATAAAGCTTTTACATATTATTTTCAGTGCATTTAAAAGCTTGTTATTGTAAAGGTTTTTACATTTGTTTTATTTTTAGCTTTTTAGTCATTCCTTTAAAATAAAGATTACACTACATAGTACACAGGCTATGACCAGAAGCGTAGCGAGGGGGGGAGTTGCGGACCGCACCGGGTGACACCAATTAGGGGGGTGACACCAAGGCAAAAAATAGCAAAATATATAGAGAAAAACTTGAGGGGGCGGGGGGTGCCAACCGAAAGTTTGAGGGGGGTGCAAATTGAAAGTTTAAGGGGGGGTGTGCAAATCAAAAGTTTTGAGGTGGGGGGGGGTGTAAATAAAAATTTGAAAGTTTGTCCCGGGAAGGGTTGCTACGCCTCTGGGGGGTGAAACCATTAAGTGCCGCACCGGGTGACACCCGACCTCGCTACACCACTGGCTATGACTAAAATATTTGAGTCAAAACCAAAACAGAGGCTTGTGATCTCTAATTGACAGTTATCTAACCTTACTTAGTTTGTGGTTAAAGCTAAGGCAAGAAATCAGCCAACCGTGACAAATAGTTCATTTTTGACAGTAAGCTTATAGAGTGTTCACTAGTATTTAATCTTGTTATCCAGTCATCTCCCTTTAAATTTGAAGTAGTTTTAATTTCTAATGACTAAATACATATCTACTTAAATTACAAAATATATATTCTTGTGTTGTCATTGAAGAAGAAGGTATCTGGAAGGTTTGAATGAAATTGCTGCATTAGAAGAACTGGGTCAAAATTAAGTTACACGATTTGCTACAAACCCACAAACAAACAAACTTGTTAAAAGGGAGATTACTCAGTGAGAAAAAGGATCAATAACCAAAAAAGATTTTGTACATTTTTTTGTAATCATTTTATGATTCCTTAAAACTATCATTCTAATGCAATCAAATAATCACTCCAAAATAAATATCATACACAGCTGTTTCGTAATATGAATCAATCATAATGAAGGCTTAAAAGGTTTATCAAGAAAAGTTGAGCTTTTGACAGCCATGATCATTTCAGGCATCTGCTGTTCAGATCTAACAAATGTCATTATTTGAACAACAAAATATCTCAAAAAGAAAAATCACTTTACCACAAATTTTAAATATGAGTATAATTATATAAAAAAATTTGAACAATTAACTGTAGTTTTTTATGACTATAATTTTTTATAAGAAAATAAAAAACAAAATATAAAGATTAGCTTAAATTAACAATTAGATCTATTCACTGTCAAATTTAGGAACAATACTGTGTTATGTTTTATCTTATAATAAAATAAGTTATGTTTAATTTCCATTAAATAATGGACATGCACAAATTAATGTAGATACTATAACAAAATTTAAAAGATAACATTATAATAAATAAAGTAATGCCTTTTTTGACTAGTTTTTATAATGCTTTTAAAACAAAATAATGTGTAAATAAAAACAACAGTAAAATCAATTATAGGCTTAACACATACAGTTTCCAAGAATATATTTTTAATCTTGTTCATACACCCAATGTGGCAATGACTTCAAATAAAAGGACCATTATTTTTTATCAAAGAGAGCATACTTATTAAATAAAGATAACTAGTAAATGCAGTAAAAGTTTAATCAATTAAATCCTGTTATAGATCCCTATCCTTCTTAAACCTATTTGAATTAAATGGATTGGTTTCACGACCTGCTGTTTCTGAGCGGCTGCTAAACTTAGCACGCCTGGCTTTGACTGTTGATAGTGTGTTACATGCTTCTTGTATTTCTATAAATTTGGTCTGAGCATATTCCTTATCTTTCTCTACTTTAAAACGATCAGGGTGGAATTCTCTGGACAATGTCCTGCAGCGTTTAGTTATCTCTTTCTGGCTTGTCCATTTGTCAATTCCAAGAACCTGGAAAATTAGATTGAAGATTGATTTCAAAACAGATATTTATTGCTACTAAAATATCAGACTATGATGTCCTCTATGTATGATGTTCATAAAACAACTGGAATTTAAGAATGGGTGAATCCCAATATACTAATTCCGTAGGTATTAGTATTTTTCTATATGGTTTATAATGTAACTATTAAGTATATGTGTCAAAAATTTTCTTTAAAAAATGGTGACATTTTAACATCAGCACTGAACTAAATTTTTAAGTTTGGGAAATTTGCTATAACTTTTTATAACATTACATTAAAAATTTACTAAATTTGGATTGAGAAAAACATGTTAGTCATCTCCCTTGATGAAGCTTGCACTGGAAATGGCTATGAACATGTAAAATTAATATCTCTAGAAAAAATATTTTATTAAATTGTGAAAAAAAAAACGTGATAAAGCTAAACTTATAAAGAAAGGTTATGCTAGAAAAGTAGTTGTTGATGAAGCTAAAAATGGGCTTAATTGTAATCTACCAGGATTTAAAATTAATTTCTAGTTATTCAATTTTAAAACAGAATAATTTTTTTTTTAAATACTAAAAATGGTGTAATAATACTTACACTGTAAGCATTGGTTTCTCCTGAAAAGTCAAAAAATTCTTTCGCATCAGAGTACATTCTGCTCCAGCCTGCATGTCTGTATACAAAGAATAATTTTCTAAGAGAATCCATTGTCCGTATCCAAGCAGGGACTTGAAAAAATTGGAAATGGCTTCTCGCAATGGTATTTTCTCCTCCCCTTCAATTATAATGTGGGCGTTGAAATACAAGCCATATCCCAGTAGAGATATCCATATCCCACAGGCAGCACAATACACACAGATATTGTAACAATGCTCTGTCTTTCTTTTGACACCATTTACTGTTCCTGGCTGTAACTGTCTCCAGCTTAATCCTCTAAGCCATGTTGATAATCCTGCAAAAACTGGTGCCAGTGATACACTTCCTCCTTCACTTATAACCCACGGCAAAGAGAAGATGCATCCAAAGAATGGGGTTTTTAGTGGTGTTTGTAACTCTCCTATATTAGCAACCAAATACACTCCTGTGGAATAAAAATAATATACACCAGGAATATTTTAGCATTCTCAGTTTTTTTCTTTTGTTTTTCAAATCTGTTTATGGTAGGCCATTTTGAACTTCACAGATAGTTGTCTGATTGCTGTTTAGATAGTGTAGTCAAGTTGTGAGATACACTTGTGCTACCCTGTAACATGAAGGAATTGGGTTCAGTTCCAGGGTTCATTCCCTGGATTTCCTCAGCCCACCTAGTTTTGTTAAGTACTTACACAGACAATGTTCCCTCTAAGGGGGAAAAAGCTAATGTGCAAAATGTATTTTCTGTGCGCGGTGTTCTACAAGGATGTATTTATTTTACAAAATCACTGTGCGGCAGCTCAAAACTACTGCGCTGCAGCGCAACAGCGCAGCTTAGAGGGAACATTATACACAGGGTATTTTAAGGCAGTTGAACTCTTCTTCATCTGCACTATGGACCATTAGTTCTAGAAGGAAAATTTACTCCTATACTAGTTGGTCTAAATTTTCTAGGGTTATAGTCACTATAACTATAAGTGCTCTAGCTTGTGCTCATAGATTTTTTTGTACCACAACTGCAAGGAGTAGTATGCTGTTTGTAATTTCTTCAGCATAAATAATTAATTAATAATTGCAAAACGCAAAACAACTGCAAATAGATGAGTTTACATACACCTTACCTACAACACCTCCTAGTATGTACAAAAGTTTAGATAATGCTCGACAGATGAAGTAATACACAGGGTATTTGGTGGCATCTTGTGATGTGTAATCAGGCACAACTCCAGACAATACAGCCCCTCCTACAAGTCCCATTGTGAAAATTCCAGCTAGACGAAACATACTGCATGATGGTGCTACATTTTGTGCAATTCTAGAAAATAAAATCATAGCAGGTGGTGAATTTCTAAAAATGCTGTGGTTTCTTTTTTTTTCAATAAGTTTTAATTTTTAAAGATATTATTATTTAGAAATAGGGATCATATAAATGTATATATTTCCATAAATATTGCTGGTATCATTATTAACTTATTGACAAGTAGGGCCTACTCTTGTTGTATCACTTAACATTGTGTGACAAAATCATCAATAAAAATGTTTAACTGTATGGTGAGAATGGACTATGGGATTATTCAAAACAAAGTCAATAGTTATACCATTTAGTTTACCTCTGAAGATGTTTCTTCTGGTAAGGACCACTTCCTGTGGCCCATTCTACATAGTGGGGAATGCGCCAAAAGTCTCTTAGCCAACCAATACCAAAACCACCACCAACAGTAGTGAACCACACAATGGCATGATTTAACCTGCCTAGGTAGAGGTGATGTATACCAAGCCAGCCAAAAAACAGCCACAGTATATATGTGACTTTCAGGCTAGCCATATTTTTGAAATTCTACACATCACAACCTGGTTTAAAAAAAATAAAGTTTGAGTATGTATATAGAATTAGCAAAACTTACAAGATAATTTAAATTTTATAGGTTAAACGATACAGATTTACAATAACATTTTAAAATTGTAGCCTGAAAACTGATAATTTTTAGGTAGGTCTACTACAAATAGTCTATATATATATAAATAAAAGTATGTGAGTTTGTTTGTCCTTTATGCATTACTACACCATTCATCCAATTGCCATGAAACTTTGAGGCTTGGTGCGATTTGGCACCCCAGGCTTTTCTGGAAGAGCTATGGCACCTACATTTGTTTTAAACAGTGCTATAGACTATGGATAAGATACGTTATTATAGTCATTCACTAAATTGAATCAGCCATGTCTGTAGGTGCCCCAGCAGGTTGTGATTTGGTGCCCCAGGTTATCTAGTGAGCACTACTGCACCTACCTTAGTTTTAAAGAGCACCCTACAATACTGACACAATGGCACACAACACTCATTGATTAAACTGAACCACGGACCATACACGACACCCCGATGGTAGTGTAATCAGGGGTTCATGAGAGCGCCCCTCTATGTCCCTGACACTTGGGCAGTCGCCAATGTGTGTTCTACCTCACTATTATGGAGAGTGATTTACGTATGCTCAAGGCTTTCATACAGCACGCCCTGGGGCATGCAGGCGGTAGTGTGGGCAAGGCGTTTCCCGTCAAATATGATCCAAAAATATTGCACAGGCATAATTTACATTTAAACAAATCCGTGCTAGAAAACGAGGTCACACAACTACGAATATAGGATTGGTAATGCAGTGATGAAACCCTCTGAAAATATTGTGTAAGACTTTCTTCTGAGACTGTGGCAACTCTTGAGGATGGGAAAGCTAAAATAATTAATAAGTAGGCCCATATTTAGTTATGGTATAGGTCTACTACAATATATATCTAGATCTTTCTTCTTCTTCGTTCTTAATTTTTAGTGTTGGAAGGGATCGAGCCTTATCTGCCAGAGGGTTTGAACTCGAGACTTTTTTTTTCGAATTTATCAACCATGAGCTTTTTTGCCGACTCTACCACGCCTCCATCACAATTAAGGATACGTGTCAACTGGTTATGCGCCATTGAGGCCATTGACTCTGATTTCAGAATGCTTTTCTTTTTGTATTTGCTTCCATAGCCTTTGTCCAACCAAGAACAAACTACAAGGCAGCAGTTGTTTAATTTTGAAGTTTATATCTAGATAATTTAAGCCTATTAAAAAACTATGCACTATAGGCCTATAATATATATTAAGCCTATATTTAACAATATAAATATTAAATAACTAGGCTTTAAAAAAATAGTCCTGAATAAATAAAAAAAACTAATAGGCCTATAAGTTTAAACTATAAGTTATTAGATCTAGTTAATTATTAGTTAACTTAATTAACAATTAACACTTGGTTAATATAAAACTAGGCCTATAAACAAACAGCAATGACCATGAGGCCATAGAGAAGGTGAGCCACAAGTGACTAACCTTAAATATTGAAATAATTAATAAATGTATGTTATGGTAATCATCTAAAAAAAATCTAATTTCATTAAATTTAAATTTTGATTCAATTCTGATCACTTGAAAAAAATTAAAATAGCTTCAATGTTTTCCTTACTTTATAACTTACTTAATTGTTAATTAATGAGGCATAGATCTAATTAATTTTTTAAAGAAGTAAAAACTATTATTAGGCCTAGTATTTTATTTTCACTTACTCTAGACTCTAGAGTAGTCTAGACTCTAGAGATATTCAGCATTCTAGATCTAGATTAATATTAATCTAGCTAGGCCTAATCATCAGCTAATGTATTTTGAACTATTTTATTAATATTTTGTAGATCTATGAAAGATGATAGATCTATGTATTATGTATGTAAGTTAAGTTACATGATTTATTGTTATTCAAGTTATTGTAAGATGTTACTTGTTAGAGTAGTTACTAGTTAGTAGAGTCATTTCATTAGAGTTAATGAATGTTAAGAAGACAATAAAAAAAACATTAAAATACGGTGATGCTAGATCTAGAGCTTTACCATTTTTTCTCTAAGTCCGCTCCATACTGTGAAGCAACGTGGCATTTTAATTTTCAAGGGATAGGCCCTAAGTCTAGTGTACAACTATTCCGCCGTAGGCAAATACACTTGGTTTTCTTTGCAACGCAGCATCTCTGAGCAGTTGCTAATTGAAACAAACCAGTTTCGCAGCAAAGGCATCCCCATCACTCGATTGCTTTATTATTATTTGGTTGTGATGTAGGCCTAGTCTAGACTTGTTCGGCTAATAAGCCCAACCTAACATTCCCAAGGTCTAAAACTAAATCAATAGATCTGGAATGTGTAGTGGTTCATTTCACTATCAAAACGCTTAAACTTAAACAAATTAAAACTAGATCTAGATCTACGTTTTTTTTTAAATTTTAAATGTTTTCTTTTGGAGATCGCGCACATATTATACAACAAACATGCATGAATCCGCCCCGAAGTAATAACTTGGATAACTTTATTTTTTAAAAGTCTATTAATTATATAAACAGTAAAGTAATGAGACATACGGTAATTTAAAAAAAATCCAACGATAAGTACTTCAAGTTGCAAGCCGCAAGGCTAAATTACCGTGTTGGCAAATACACGCATCTTGTGACGTAGGAACACGTGTTACTAGTGTTAGGTTGGCCTACACACTACAACTTGAACAAGCCGATTTATTTCCTATTTCTTCAATAACCTTTTATTTTTTTTCCTCAGACAGTGTCAGCGAGTGCTTATTTATTGAACAGCAACATAAATAAAACACGTAATTTTAGATCCCCCTCCCCATTTCGTAGCCCCCCCCCCCCCCACGACTCACCCGTTTAAAACTAAGACCTTTCCTCACCCAATATTTAATCTAAGAATATAAATTATTATTCTAAAAAAAATCATAGGCCTACGTGTGACAGATTGGCAATGTGTATATTTTTTGTTCACTTTTATTTTTCTTTAGGCCTATAACTGCAGCGATTTTTAGATCTAGATTTAATTTTTTTTTTGAAATTGATACATATATGTGTCCATGTTTGGTGGTGTAATTGGAGCGTCCCTTATGGCATTTCTCCCTTCTTGTTTAAAAATATGGAGGTAGTTTAGGCCTACATATCTTGATTCAGATTGTACCCTGTTGTTAGTACAGTAGAGTAGCGAGGGGGGGGGGGACATATGTCCCCGGGCGCCGACCTTAGGGGGCGCCAAAATGGGTTGGAAAAATAAATTGAAAGGTTGGGGGGGGGGGGGTGTAAATCGAAAGTATGAGGGGGTGCAAATCGAAATCTTGAAGGGGGGGGGGGATGCAAATCGAAAAGTTTGTCCCCGGGCGCCGGGAAGGGTCGCTACGCCTCTGTGTTAGTATGTAAAACGGTCTACGTAGAGTGTAGTTTGACCACTTAAGTACCTGTAGTCAGTGGCGTAGCCAGGATCGTCTCAAGGGGGGGGTTCCAATTTTTACCCGGGGACAAACTTTCGATTTGCACCCCCCCCCCCATCAAACTTTCGATTTGCACCCCCCCCCTCAAACTTTCGATTTGCACCCCCCCCCTCAAACTTTCGATTTGCACTTTTTATATATACTTTTTATATATACCGAGGGGTCTATGGGGGGGGTTATGACCCCCCCCTAACCCCCCCCCCCTGCCTACGCCACTGCCTGTAGTGTAAGCTCAATATTGACTTATAATTCTACTTGATATTAGTGAATGTAATATTAAACCAGCTTGAAATATTTATTATCAAGTCTACAGCCTACGCGTGATATACTGTTTTTTTAAAGGGGTTAAAAAAAGAAAAAGCCTACATTATGTAGTAAGTATAAGTCAACGCCAGGTGTAGTTAATCTATGGGAGACAACTTATCCACATAAATTGTTGCCCTTCCTTATCTGTTAGATATTGTGAACACAACATGTGCAGACAGTCCGCATTTAAGTTTAGGCCTACTAACGTATTTTTAAGGTTGTTTTTTTTAACTATGTTAAACTTATATGTTAATGAATACATACTTATAGTTACAATTTAAACGAAAGTATTAAGTAAACAACACCATAATTATTTAACTGCTATAGTTTCAAATAGTTCACATTTAAAAAAGAAAAGCTTTTTTAGACTTACCTACATGATTATGACTGACTTGCGTGTGATGCCAAAACTTCCTGACACATTTACTCTTGACACATTACTTAGGTCTACCACATGTAGGCCTATTGGCCCAAAATGTTTTTATTAAAAAAAAAGATAGCTCTCGCTGATTACGTATTGCTTTTTTTAAAATTATGAGATAGGCCTACCGCAACATTCCCCCCTCCCCATGAATTCTAATATTAGACCTAACGCGAAGTGAAAATTAGTTCTTAGTGTGCCACGTGGAAACACACGAGTGGACGCGGCTAAAACAATACGAGCAGAAAACATTGTTTTTTTCTCTAGTGACGTCTACATTCGAGCAGGTTCTTGTTTGGGCCAAAGTTAATGAGTCTCGAGTCATCATATCAGGCTACAGCTGTTTCATCGTTATGGCCACATAAAAACAGCGCTCCACACCTCTAGAGATCAAGTTCAGAGCAGAGGGGGTGGAGGAGGGAGTATAAATGAGGCGGGCAGGCGGTGTAATGTTGCTGATTGCAATCTGACGACTACTACAGCATACTTGCAGTAATTAGACATATGGAGGGGGGGGGGAGGCTACAATCGGTCGCTCTATTTACCGTAACATATCTGATACACCCTTCCCTCCCCTTTTTTAAAACAAGATAATAAAATTCATTGATACATGTCAGTTAAAACCACGAGTTTGTAAAATAAAAATATATAATTTATGAAATACCCAATAGCCTAATTTATTCAGTGTCCTGTATAGTGAGAGAGAAAAAGATAGCGTTGATTTCAGCCTGACCGAGTCCTAGGTGTTAAATCAGCTCTTAGTTTACATATAGTCACACCATCTGGTCAGTACACATACACGGGTCTACGCTGGGAAATGTGGAATTTACGTCTTTGGTAGCTGTAGTAATGGGTGGAGTTATTTTTATTAAACCTAAATACGCCGCAGGGCTTACTCTTTGGGTAAGTTTGATCACTCATCCACCCAGTTAATTACCTCTGTAGACCCCCCCCCCCCCCAAACAATAATTAAATATTAATGTAGAGTTAACAAGACATCAAGTTTAGGCCATCACAACCCTAATCAAATGGTAATGTAAGCTGATGTCTACTGTAATAAAAATGGCAAGGTGTAATGACATCAAGGGGGTGGAGGGTGGGGTAATTGACTGACGATAATGTCGTAGACCAGTGACAAACACACTGGGCAATATGAGTTTTAGTGATTATAAAATAACTCTGAGAATTGTATAAGTACAAAGAACAGGGATATTCTATGTTATTAATATTTTTGACGTCATGTTGCCTTGCCAACACCCTTGCCTTAGCAAACAATGAAGGTAAAAACTTGGTAACAAATACACCATGCTTCGATGGAAATCAACTATTTGGCTACTTGTTGTAGTTTACCCATGATTTCAACCAACATCTTGCCAAAACTTACCAAGCATGCGTATATATATATATATATATATATATATATATATATATATATATATATATATATATATATATATATATATATATATATATATATATATATGACATTTCTACACAAATACTGACAAAGAACAAAATATATATGTGCAAGCATAAGAGAGAACATAAAAACAAATCATAGAAAATATGAATCTGTATTTACATCAACATTATCAATATGTAAGTATTTACATGATAAAACAACATCAAATAAGGTACATATTTACAATCTTACATTCATGTAATAAAAAAAGCCAATAGTTCAATGACTATTCTATAGATCAACAGTGATGTGCATTAGTCCTCTGTGCAAAATCTTCTGAATGTTAAACTTTATACAAACCACTAGCTATAAAGATTTGTCTATTCAATATTCTTCAACGAAGGTATAAACCTACTTTTCCAGGTTGAAAAAAAAACAATGACTATAATTATTTCCACATGACTACAGTTTTTAAAAATTTACTTTTAAAATTAAATACTGAAAAACTTTCATGCGAACTGTTGCTAACTGGATGGTGCAATGAAAGGCCCACATCCAATGAGAAGATTGCGCCTAGTAAAATGTAACCCTAGTATAGTTGAACTTTTAGTCAGGTAAGTCCCCAATAGTAGGCTGGGACTATCATTCCTGAAGAAAGAAGACAACAAATACATAGAATCCTATTTGTAAGTATGGATAAATAAACACTGCTATAAAAAATATGTAAATTTTTCTTCAATACTTACACATTCACATTGCTTGGAATACTTGTATCTGTTTCAGTATCCTGTTCAGCTAATACTTTGTTTATATCCCATAACCTTATGCTGTCATCCAGGCCTCCTACAATACAATCATTAGTAGAATATAGTTTAAATTAACAGAAGATGATGATAGAGACATTTTTAATATGGATTGTGATAACTGCTGAATGACTCAGCCTAATGCAGAAGGAGCCAAATAAATGATTACTATAACTGTACATGTTGTTTCATGAAATATTTAACTAATTAGTTAACAATATATTCTTCTAAATCAGTACTGCGCAACAAGCCAGCTAAATTAGAGATTTTTAATTAGCAATTATTTGATTATTTTTAAATCTGATTGTAGTATTTCTTTGATTATATATAAATTACAAGATATTTTTAGAAGAAAATGAAACTAATTTTTTAAATTATAATTTTTATCTGGTAATCCCAAACTACTTTGTCACAGACAAATGCATATTTCTTATATAAACACAACAAAAATAAGGTGAGATTTCACCTACCTGAAGCTAGCATAGTACCATCCCTACTGAAGCAAATACAATACACAATGTTTGTATGACCTTTCAACTGTGCCACTAGAGTTCCAGTTGATAGGTCCCAAACTAGAACTAAGTTATCTGCTCCTGGTAAGATAATTAGGAGGAAAAAATATTGTTATCATAATTCAATTATCTAAAGCAGCCATAAGGTAATTAAAAAAAAAGAATGATTATTATGATTAAGAGATGCTACATCAGTAGACTCATGTATATTAATACCTTATTTAAGTATAAGCTATAAAGATATTTTGAGTGCAATACATTAATGTGTTTACCTGCACTAGCTAAATACCTGCCGTCTGGACTAAACTGTAGACAATGTATAGTTCCCTGGAATAATTAGGCAAACTTGAAAACTTGCAGGAATTTTCAATTTGATATTTTGAAAAGATTTAAAGATATTTTTTACATAATTAAAATATATTTTAAAGTTAGAAATAATATCAAAGTATTAACCAGTGTAATGCAAAAATGAATGTCCAACCTTATGACCAGTCATGACACGCACACAGCTGCCATTCAGCATATCCCACAACCTGACACTTTTGTCACTAGAGCCAGTAGCCACATAATTGGAGTTGGGATGGAACTGACAACACTGCGGTAAAATAAACCACAAAAAATACACTTCGGAAATCAAACACTAATACTTGTTAAAATAAATCTTTTGCTTATAATAAAAAAGAATTAAGAAAGATGTAAATCTAAGATAGTAACAGTAAAACTATCAGCAATATTAAAAAAATAAACAACCTATAAACAAATAATGACCCAACTAAATCAAAATATAATAATTCACAATTATGGTAAAAAATGTGATATACATCAACGTCAGCCAAATGTCCTGCAAATATCCTGAGTGGTTGATAGTGGTCAGTGGCCCAGACTCGAGCAGTCCTGTCATGACCAGCAGAGGCAAAATAGTAGCCATGAGGGCTGTCAAATGGTTAAAAAAGCTGTATAAGCATTACCAAATAAAAGAAGTATAGCTTGAATATTTAATATATTCTATACTCTCAAAAATCATTTTGTGATGTTTTATTGTAATGCTTAATAAAATAATGCTAATAAATGGTTGATTTAAAATTGTTTTATACCTAAACTTGACATCCCATACTGGAAAGTTATGCCCCTTGTAACAGACTAAGTTGGTCCAAACAAGAAGACTCCAAAGACGAACTAAAGGAAAAATGTTATTTGAGTTAATATGTATTAATGACCTTTTATGATGACCCATTAAAAATGTATTAACTTATAAAATAATGTAACAACCTCAAATAGGTAATTTTATCACTACGCTCGCTATAGGATAAGTTAAATTAAACTTACTTGTACCATCATCAGATGAAGACAGGAGGTAGGCCCGATCTGGACTAAAACTGACAGCATAGACACTGCCACTGTGACCAGCCAGCTTTTTATTGTCACTAGCTGTTCTCTCGTCAAATATTCTTTCCATAACATCATCTACAATAAAAAAAATTAGAATTTTGTTAATCTTCAGAAATGTTTTCTATTTAGTAAAGCATGTTATAAGCAGTAAAAGTAACAGCCCTGCTATAATCTACGTAACTACCTAAATTAAAAATTTATACATGTTTTCAAATGTGTATAAAGAAATTTTGATTACAGTCTACATTTTAACATCTATTTTCATTAAATTTGTATTGTTCAACATTTATAATTTATTAAATGCATACAATGATTAGAAAAAAAATTAGCAATTTACACATTTTTGTAGCATATATTTAGCTTAAAGCAGTTTAAAGAAGGGTGTACACACCAGCCTCCTTGTCATACATTTTTGTAGCATATATTTAACTTAAAACCGTATAAAGAAGGATGTACACACCAGCCTCCTTGTCATACATTTTTGTAGCATATATTTAACTTAAAGCTGTATAAAGAAGGGTGTACGCCAGCCTCCTATTCATACATTTTTGTAGCATATATTTAACTTAAAGCCGTATAAAGAAGGATGTACACACCTTGTCATACATTTTTGTAGCATATATTTAACTTAAAGCCGTATAAAGAAGGATGTACACCAGCCTCCTTGACATACATTTTTGTAGCATATATTTAACTTAAAGCCGAATAAAGAAGGGTGTACACACCAGCCTTCTTGTCATACATTTATGTAGCATATATTTAACTTAAAGCCGTATAAAGAAGGATGTACACACCAGCCTCCTTGTCATACATTTTTGTAGCATATATTTAACTTAAAGCTGTATAAAGAAGGATGTACACACCAGCCTCCTTGTCATACATTTATAAAGCATATATTTAACTTAAAGCTGTATAAAGAAGGATGTACACACCAGCCTCCTTGTCATACATTTATAAAGCATATATTTAACTTAAAGCTGTATAAAGAAGGATGTACACACCAGCCTCCTTGTCAATCATGTCCAAGTCATCTGGGTCTTTCATCTCCCTCAGCTTGTTTGGGGTCAGGGACCAGACCCTAACATTGCCGTCAGCAAAACCTGCAGCCATCATGCTAGAGTCATCTGTTACATCTACGCTAGTAACACTGGGTGAAAAAAACAAAGGCAGTTGTCTACACATTGTGATGGTCAACATCTTTTCAATTTTATGGTCAATTGTTTACAAAAATGAAAAATGTTTATTGACTATCATAGAGAAATATAATACTTTAATAAAAAATCGGCAGTTGGATTTTTACCAAATTGGTAAATATAATGAATTAGATTATTATAAATGTGGATTAATGAATTACCCTTGGTATGAATTAAGAAATGTGTAGAAACAAATGGATGGTAGATGACTATGGTCAAGTTTTGCCCTCTTCTTTGCTTCTCTGTATGAAAGAGCTCGCTCTCTGTGATCTTGGTCTTTGCTAAAACAAAATTAGTTGGGAGTTGCTTATTGTTGCAATGTGGGTGTGAGGTAGGGGTAGATTCTTGAATTCATATACCAATTAATCAACAAATATTTATATATAACAAAAAACCTAACATTTGTATTATAAAAAGACATTACCAAATTAAGATGAATCAAAACATAAGTATTAAAGACCAAACAAAAAATGTACTCACAGTTCTGGTAAAGGTATCCTAAACACAGGTGGAGCATTGGGGTCATTTTTAGATTTCTTCATCAACAATGGATCTTTCTTTGATTTCTTTTTCTGAAATATATTATTCCAAAATGAAATTTGGTTGAATAAAACATACCTGAACAGAAAGAAAAAAAGAATTTTTTTGTATGCATAAAAGATTACTTTTAACTACTCTTTTGCAGACAGTCCATTACTGTACATGTGTGATTTAAATCTGGTTTTGGTGGACATACAACCCAGGTGGCAAATTTTCAAAGAAAAAATTTAGTTGTACAACATAAGGTACATCTAGCCAAATATGTGTTTCTGGCAGTGACTGTTGTATGTTTGTAATTAGATATTGTTTCATTTTCTAAATTATCACACCATATTGGTGTTAGACAAAACAGTCTGGTTCATACTTTAGGCTTCTCATCACCATCTGCAGCTTCCTCTTCTTCGTCTAGCTGGATATTCAAGTCAGGTTCTTTCAACAATCCAAAGAATACTTTAGCTTTGTTGGCTACAGACACAAAAAATGGTATAAAGACAAACCGGTAAAGCAATGTGATTGAGAAATTAAATTTTTCATCTTCATATCAATTTAGAATACTTTTTTAAGCAGATGATATTATTTAGCGATTATTACATTTATTAGTTTAATAATAACATTCTATTGCATTCTTAATAGAAAAAAACACATATCTAACTTAAACATTATGGAGTACACATAGTTGCTAAAATATAGAAGAGCTAATTTTACACCTTACCATCTCTGTCTACCTCTCCAAGTAACCCTCCACTTGTAGCCTGTATTTGTTGGTGTGTACGAGGGACTCCGTCAAACACTGTATTTAAAAAAGTAAAGTTTAATAAACAAGTCAAAAATTAATAAACGCTGTATTTTAATCAAAAACAAATAAATCCAAGATATGATAATGCCAAATTAAAAAAAAAATCTATTATTATTTTCATTACTTAAGTTTTAAGGAATAAAATAATTTCAATATAACATTTTGCTATTTTCAAAATGCAACATTCACAGAGTAGGTTTATATCACCATTATTATTTACATTACAAGGTGATTGTTGTTACACTGCTTTCTTAACAAAAATGTTACTTGCCATCAATGAAAAGATGATCCTGAATAATTGTTAGCAACGGAGACAAGCGTTTTTCTTGTAAGTGTCTTTTGAGGTGTGTGTATGAGTCACGAGACATCCGTAAAACAAATTTACTTGTCCTGTTTGATGTAACACAATCACAATATATAACACTATATTCAAATATTCCTTGTATATATAATGACAGAGAGCTGTTTAAAAAAAAAAAACATACTTAAAGTTTTCCAAAAGTTGGTCCCCATTCATGTGTTCTTTCTTGCGGACAATGGCCAATTTGGCTAAGTCTTCATGATGGTGCTCTTCTTGATCTTGCCAGAATTTAGTATAAAACTCAGCAGCTGAAATTATCCATATCAATACAACAGTTTAAAAAACATTTGCTAACAATTTTGATACAAAAATTAATGATTTCATCTAAATTTTAAGAAGATCTATTATAACTGTATCATTGGTTATCCCTTCCCCACATTATTGTATGTAATTTTGCAAAAAAATGTTTAGCCTGTAAATGAGTTGTCATGATAAAGAGATAAAAGCAAAACAAAAAAATTCTTTAAAAAATATGTACCATTCCATTCATGATCATTGTACACCAATTCAAGATACATGTGTACAAATATTGGATACAAAATGATGGACAGTTCAACCTGTGAAGGAATGTTTTAAAATGTTAATTAAATTGGCTGACAAGACAGTCTTATTGCTTCAATATTTTTTTACATTAAACTAATGAATATATTACTACATGAAAAATGAAAGTGAGGTGAAAAAGAAACAATTAACATTTTGCTGGAAAAAGATTCACCTTGTGAACATCAAGGCAAGAGTCAATGAATGTTTTCAAATCATTGTATAGATCCTCATAGAGACTTGGATCATCATCACTAAAAAAAAAAAGAAGAGAAAATGCATTACCCATGAATCAACAGTAAATAAAAGAAAGTATGTGTCTATCAAAGTATAAAGTAGAGTCACACCTTTTGTATACAGCAGCTAATGCTTGTGAGACCTCTGTTTTTTTGTCATCTTCAGTTTTCAGATCATCATCAGAAACTTTAGCTTCTTGCTTGAGGAGATTTTCTGTCTCCTGTACAAATTATAGAATTATTTTTGTTTGTATCTCTTGTTTATAATAATGGAAAGCCTAAAAATTACCCTTCATTAACATGAAGTAAATCAAAGACAGGAAATCATAAAGCCATCTTGACAAAGTCACCAAGCAACAGAATCACATCTACAGTAGAGGTCCACTATGTTTAAGTCTAAGCTAACCTAAAAAGGACAGGTATGTCTTCTTATATTTCACTCTACTTCTTTAGGCCAAAATTTACACTTAAGACTAAAACATGAATGAAATATAATTTAATGAAATCTCATAGGTCAATATATTAATTAACTATTTTAGCCTAACCTTTCAACTTTTATTTTAAACTAAGAAAATTAATTTTTTGTCACTTAGAACCTGACTAGAGAATCAATAGTGACAGCCAGAAAACTTGTTTAATTTGTCTATTAATTCTCAATCTTAGTCAGTGTCCAACACAATGGGGAAAACAACAACTGTCATTGTGAATGGAAAAATAAAAACAGTTTACCGTCTCTCTTTATTATTATCTATTACTAATATTAGGCCTAAATAGAATAAATTAATATTAGGCTGATTCTACCCAGAGAAGATGCGCATATCTTCTAAACAGTGCTACAGTGACCTGGTTCTTCTTGTTATCTAAATGTTTGTTGTTCATGTGTATGAGTTGTCCTGATGGGATTAACATAATAAAACTTTAAAACTTGTTTTTGATGGCACTGCACATGCATGAGTTTACAACCGCAGAACCCTAGCCCTAACCCTAGTCATAACGCTAGCTCAGCTATTAGGTCACTACCTTTTGCTGACCAAGTGGATACGCTGAGGCGAAAAATCTTTGGATGATTATAGATACCGGTGTCCGATAATATCGTCTTTAAAAAAGGGGTGTTGGGTTGTTAGTAGTATTGTAATCTCGACTAATTTTATGGTTAGAAATTAGGGTTAGGCGTATAGTAGGACCAGGGTTGGGGTTAATACCGTTAGTGTTAGGGACAGGGTTAGCATTGACATTAGCCAGCCATGTGTGCATCTAGTTAACCAGTAACCTAACACCCCTTTTTTAGAATAAGATTCCATTATCGGACACAGGTGTAAACATTCTCCCAAATCTTTTTCCGTTACTTCATTTTGTTTTTTCTGCCAGCCAGCCAAGGCGGCAAAAGCTTTTGTCTTACGGCTGGACTACTGGACTAGATCTAACTTGTTTTTGTTCTCTAGCTAGATCTAGTTACTGTGAATAGTGTAAATATCTAGTCTAGCTACTTTTAGCTAGGCTAGGCCTCCACTCTCCACTCCAGGTTTGGGATGCTAGCGGCAGGTCGAAAATGAGATCGTGAACTTGAAAAAAACAAGATCTAGATTGGGCTAATGATTTGTTCTTACCTTCAAATTATGCTTCTTTAAAAACTGGAGCACTGCGAGCAAAGTCTGTTTATCGTATTTACATGAATTTTCAGCGTCTTCGGGCTCTTGCTTAACAACAACAGTTGCATTGGAGTCAGACATGTTTAGAAGCTGTCATTAGTTTCCGGATCATAGTTTTTACTTTTCTCTCAGTAAAAACAAATCATCAACTAGGCATAGGCTAGCAAATCTAAACAGAATAATAATCTATATAAAATCTAGATCTAGAAATACTAGATCTAGATCTAGAATTTATAATAAAAAAAGCCCAAAAACTCAATTTAAATTACATATTATTTGTTGTTTTTTAAAATTGTTTTACATTTTCCAAAGGCGTCCCGAGGCGGGGGCGGGGCGGGGGTGGCAAAGTAATTTACTAGCCATATCGATTTTAAACAGAACACAACAACATCAACAAGATATCCCAAAATAATCCTCATTTGTCACTATTATCTCCACTCCTTCAGGCATTCATGGTTTTACGTTGCAATACATTTTTGAATACGGGATAGATTTGGGGGTCATCTATAAATGACGTCACACGTCGTCACAAAAAGCCAGACCCCCCAAAAAGTGACGTCACACCTCAGCCTACACCCCCCCTCAAAATTGCTGTTAAATTTTTCTTAAAGCATAGAAATTTTTCCAAGATCTTGTCAGAACTCTGTCAACATAGAGTATTTTGATCAATTCCTATTACAATTTATTAAAACCGTTTTCTAAAACTCGAAATAACGGCGATATAACTCGTTTTCTAACATTGCTTTTTTTATAATGCAAAAGTGTGACGTCACACTATCTGACCCCCCCCCCCCCCCATCACACACCGTCACAAAATTACGGACCCCCTCTCCCCTACGAGTGTGGCGTCAATTATGGACGACTCTTAACTGAAGACTGTATCAGTTTAAAAAAAAAATAGGCCATGCCATATATTCGTGCAAATTAAGGTCTACACATTAGAAGACCTTATGATATATATATTCTATAGGGTACACAGTACATATGTTTTTGGCATATGCCTTTGTATGTAGGCTAGGTAGCCAATAGGGACCATACGCTGACTATAGCCTATAGGGCTGGTAAGTAGGTCAATAAACAGTTCTATGGCTCATGCAGGTTTTATTGAGCCGTAGAACTGGTTGGTGACCTACTTACCAACCCTATAGGTAACTCATCACGGGTTTATATTACCCCCCACTATCATCTTCGTAGATCTAGTCTCTAGTTTGTTTACATTTGGTGAAGGCCTGCTATTTTTAACTTTCTTCAATTATTGTTGGTTAAAAATAAAAAGTGAGTATTAGTCAACTGAGCAGAATTCTTGCGTGTAGAAATGTTTTTGGTGTCAAAATTGCATTTCACATAACTCAAAGTGGGCCGAGACAACAGAACTTAAACTAGCTTGGCTGCTGAAGAAGTAGGATCAACAGAAGATCTAAAATCTATAGATCAAGTACTGCAGAGTTTCATAGCAGATACCAGTGCTCTGGCCTTGTCAGTTAATTCTTATTGACAAGATATGAAGATAAGTCATAATTCTTTACTGATTTTGTTCATATAGTTATGTGGTAATAGCTAGCCGTATACTGAAAATAGTAATACAGTAGTATATAGGCTACAGTTGTACAAATAGTGTAAAGAGTAGCCTAAGCCTTTAGGCTACTTTATAAGAATTATAAATATAATCTTAATTTTAACATTTCTTTTCTCTGTCACAATGTTAAAAAGAACCTGTCAGTTATATTGAAGGTTAAATGAGGCTTTGCTTTTATCATTGATCATTGATTTTTTATAATCTGTGAATGGACACAAGCGAGAAAAGTCTCAAAGGTATTTGAGAGGTGTATAAATTAATTTAAAATTCTTGCACGGCGTAGTTACAATTAATATGGTTATAACATCCTGTCTGTCTGGTTTTTTTCGGACTTTACTAAAGATTGGACGTATTTGATGTTTTTAATATTTTCGGTAACTAAATAAAAATTAAAAAAAAAGCAAAAACAATTTGGTTTTCACGTGTAATGGCGACATAAACAATGGCATCCTGCTATTGGATAGGCCGACAAAAATTTTATTGTACACATTGTAAGCTAAAAATAGAAAACTAGGTCATGGGGTTTTTAATTTGCATTGTTATTTAAAAACTTGATCTGCAAAGTTTTGTAAACAAATAATTATCGATCACTAAGTTACTGTACAGCCAATCAATATTTGTCTTACGAAAGTGAAACATCCGGTTATAACTTAGGCTTGATGAAAATAAATAGAAATGTAGCCTTAAACTCAACAAATTATTTTCTAGTTCTCTGGATTTGCAACTTTTATAGCATTTATTCTAAAAATATAAAATTTCTAAATTAATTTTAGGCTTAAGTTTTTATTTTTTATTTTTTTTTACGGTCTAAATCTAAAAAGCACGTTTTTATTCCATGACAACAACACTATGGAAGGAATCTCGTCAACTCGCTTGTCTCCATTCCATTAGTGTTATTAAAATTGTAAAAATATGGTTATGGCCCTCTTAGTCTACTTGTCTAATGAATCATTAAAAAAACCTTTATCAACAGGTTATTGTTTTTATATCATTCACAACTTAAGTTTAACAATTTAAGTAAACATATTGCATTATTTTTTTTTCAGCTTAAGTAGGTTACTTTGATACATCAGCATATTGTTAATACTTAATACTTGACTTTCTTGACTTCTTCCTTTGTGGTCCCATTGGGAGCAAAGGGCTGCAATCACACCTGTATATTCTATATAGAAGACCTATTAATAAATTATTCTATTTAAATTTAATTCTAATCACACTTTTAAATGATTGCATTTCTGTAGTATTATATAGATCTAAATCAAATGATCTAAAACTAAAATATTAACATTCATAACGTATTGATATTATTATTTAAAATGTCTCAAACATATGTGCATGTTATAGCTTTTATTGGTTTTATTTAAAGGTGTACACTCATACTTCTAGATCTAGTGTGACAGGTCTGTTAATTAGATATACATTTTGCTTGCTTTACTTTCATAATCTTTTGACAGTTTTATTCAGTGCTGGCTTCTCATTGCTAGTCAGTAGACCTGTTTAGCTGTAATGTAATTGTTTATTTTTAAAACCTTTCTTTTTACAATTTTCTACATTAATCTCAATTATGCGTTCTCCAGCTCAAATTCAATCTGGATCTACTTTTTAAAAATGTGCTAATAAATTTACTAACACATATTGTACTGTTTTTTGTTTTTTTTTCATAAAGGGTTTTAGATCTATTTGTTGAGGTACACATTCTCTTTAAAAAATGTTACTTAGAAATGCTATTCTTTTAAGCTTTTAAGTGTTAATAATTTTATCTTACTTGTTTATGTGTTGAGTCTGATTATTGCAAGCACATTATCCAGTGATGTGTTCTCTTCAAACTCTAAAACATTTTTACTTTTGTCTCAGCTTTACTAAAAAAAACTATTGCTTGCATGTAATGAATTCATGAACTTATTAAAGGCTTTATAAATAGAAAATATTAATTCTTACAGCATTATTTATTGAATATATATACATATATATATATATTATCAAAAATTTAACGCATTTAACTAATTTATCTAATTTAATTTTCTATTTCATTTTGCAATTCATCTTAAAACTTTGCTGTTACAGGTTGGATTCTTTTAAAATCTATTAAATTATTGAAAAATTGTTATACAATTTTTAGACACTTTGTATTTAATGCTTTTATTTTTGTTTAAAATGAGTTGTTTGGTTACATTTCTATGAATATATTTTTAATTACTTGAAAATTCTTAGTTTAAAAGCTACTTATTTAACATTTACATTTCAGCTACAACTTAATATTCTTTGCCCATTACAGTTTTAAGAAATACAATATATAAGCCTACTCCTCATTCTTTTTACAGGCTACCCTGTTTATATTTTATGTAATTTGTAATTAAGCTAAAATTTCAGCAGTATTATCTATTAACATTCATAACCTATTAGTATTAGTTTCTATTTAATGTAACTTAAAATGTCTACATATTGTATATTATAGCTTTCTATTTACATGGTTTATGTGTACACCCATACTAGCATAAGTCTGATAATAATTAGACGTGCATACTTTACATCCATGTTACAATTTAGTTCAATGTTGGTTTCTCACTCAATAGTAGTCGCCTGTTAAGCTGTAATTTTATGGAGTTATTTTTTTAACATTTCTTTTTAAAACTTTCTACATTTATTACAATTATGAATTCTTCAGCTCGAATTAAATCTAGATCCTGATCTACTTTTAAAAATGTACCATTAAATTTGAGTTTTACATTTACTAACATATTGTACCATTAGATCTAAATGCTGATGTACACATACTTTTAAAAACATAATCAAGAAATGGTATTCTTTTAAACTTTTGCAGTATCTTGTACTAATTTTATCTTTTGTGTGTTCAGGCTGATTATTGCAAGCACATTATTAAGTAATGTGTTCTCCTAAAAAATATTTTTCAGCCTAAATACTGTTTTCTCGTTTCAATTTTAAGAAATACATAATATAAACCCCTCTCCACATTCTGATTATAGGCTACATATTTGTAATTTGTAATTAAGGCCTTTTCTTTTTTCTTTGTCATAAACCATGGTTTCTGATGCTTAAACAATTTCTGTAAGTAATATGCCTTATTCTATATGATTTACCTAATTTAAAATCCACCGCCTTTACACATTAGTCTTTCTTCTCTAATCAATTATTTAAAATAGCAACAATTTTAAGTATGTTGCTTTTCACCTTTGCCATTTATAATTATTTTAATACTTAGTTTAACTTTAGTTACTAACACATTTATATAAATATTGAGTACTTTAGGTGTTTTTTTGGAACATCTGTGCTACTTAAAATTTGAGTAGTTGCACGTGTTTTCTTTTCTTCAAACTTTCTTTTCTTGAACTGAAATAAAATTTTTGTCTTGTTTAAAACAGTTTATATAAAAATAAGACACTAACATTAATGTTGGCGCTCTTTAATATGTATAAATCTATATGTGTTACTTTATATAATTTCAGAAACATCAGAAAAAACTAAAAGGGTTGTCTTGTCTAAAACTTGTTGTCCTTTTTTTGTAAA